CCCATCACTTCTCTCTACCTAATCTAAGGTAATGCTTTTTTCTTTTTCTTTTCCTCACATCTTCATACATGTGTTTTGCAATTCCCCTTCTCCTTCCCTTTCTTTCCCACCCCTCTTCCCTATGTAGAGGTAGTCTTCTTCCCTATCGTATTTTGAGTCACTCCCCTTATATCAGAGAAGACATTCGGCATTTGTTTTTTTGGGATTGGCTAACTTCACTTAGCATAATCTGCTCTAATGCCATCCATTTCCCTGMAAATGCCATGATCTTATTATCTTTTAGTGCTGAGTAATATTCCATTGTGTATACATGCCACATTTTTTAAATCCATTCATCCATTGAAGGGCATCTAGGTTGGCTCCACAGTTTAGCTATTTGAATTGTGCTGCTATAAACATTGATGTGACTGTGTCCCTGTAGTATGCTGTTTTTAGGTCCTTTGGGTATAGAGGAATAGCTGGGTCAAATGGTGGTTCCATTCCCAGCTTTCCAAGGAATCTCCATACTACTTTCCAAATTGACTGCACCAATTTGCAGTCCCACCAGCAATGTATAAGTGTACCTTTTTTCCCACATCCTCACCAGCACTTATTGTTGTTTGTCTTCATCATGGCTGCCATTCTTACTGGAGTGAGATGGTATCTTAGAGTAGTTTTGATTTGCATTTCTCTAATTGCTAGAGATGATGAGCATTTTTTTGTATATTTGTTGATTGATTGTATATCCTCTTCTGAGAAGTGTCTGTTCAGGTCCTTGGCCCTTTTGTTGATTGAGTTATTTGTTTTTTTGGTGTTTAGCTTTTTGAGTTCTTTATAGAGATTAGAGCTCTATTTGATGTGTGAGGGGTAAAAATTTGTAGGCTCCTTATTCACCTCACATATTATTTCTCTTGCTGAGAAAAAAAACTTTTTAGTTTGAATCCATCCCATTTGTTAATTCTTGTGCTATAGGCATCTTATTAAGGATTTTGGAGCCTAGCCCCACGAGATGGAGATTAGGGCCTACTTTTTCTTCTATTAGATGCAGAGTTTCTGGTTTAATCCCTAGACCATTGATCCATTTTGAATTAACTTTTGTGCATGGTGAGAGATAGGGATTCAATTTCATTTTGTTGCATCTGGATTTCCAGTTTTCCCAGCACCATTTGTTGAAGATGCTATCCTTTCTTCAGTGCATGGTTTTGGCACCTTTGTCTAATATAAGGTAGTTGTAATTTTGTGGGTTAGTCTCTGTGTCCTCTATTTAGCACAACTGGTCTACTAGCCTGTTTTGGTGCCAGTACCATACTGTTTTTGTTACTATTGCTCTGTAGTATAGTGTAAGGTCTGGTATAGTGATACCACCTGTTTCACTCTTCCTGCTTAGAATTGCTTTAGCTATTCTGGGGGTCTCTTATTCTTCCAGATGATTTTTTTTTAAAAGAAAGAGGAGAAGGAGAGGGAGAGAGAATTTTTTAAAATTTTATATATATATATATATATATATATATATAATTATATTTTAGTTTTCAGCAGACACATCTTTGTTTGTATGTGGTGCTGAGGATTGAACCCGGGCCACACGCATGCCAGGCGAGTGCACTACCACTTGAGCCACATCCCCAGCCCCTCCAGATGAATTTCATGATTGCTTTTTCTATTTCTATGAGAAATGCCATTGAGATTTGATCGGAATTGCATTGAGCCTGTATCTCTTATTATTCTTATGGCATGCTGGCAATTGAATGCAAAGCTTCACACATTTTAGGCAAGTGCTCTGTCACTGAGCCACACCCCAGCCCTGTTTTATATTTTATTTAGATAAAAAATAATATTGTAATAAATCTTTTTTCTTTCTTTGTGGTACTGGAAGTTGAACCCATGGGCACTCTACCACTGCGCTACAAACCCAGCCCTTTTTATTTTGATATGGGGTTTCACTAAGTCACCCAGGATGGCCTGGAACTTGTGATTTTGGACACAATACCTTTATTTTATTTATTTTTATGTGGTGCTGAGGCTCAAACCCAGTGCCTCACATATGCTAGGCAAGTGCTCTGCCACTGAGCCACACCCCCAGCACAGCTGTGATAAATCTTGATGTCTAGTGGAATAAATCCTGTGGGAAAACAATTTTACTTCCACATTCCACACTCAGATAATTTGATAGCATATGCATTGAAGAGAAGAGCCAGGGTATTTTTCCKTCTATGGGCCATCCTCAGTCTCACTCCCAAAGCCTGTCATGGAACTCCCTTGGGTAAGGTAAATGCTCCACATCCTGCAGGCGCTGGTGCTTACAGAGGCGGATGCAGTCTAACAAAACTCTGAACTGTATGCTGAAAGGTTGTTCATGCTATTGTATGTAAAGTTATAGCTTAAAAAGTCCTTCAGTGTGCACCTCCAACCCAACAAATCACCATCTCCCCAACCAGATGGGGCCCACCTCACAGCATCCAACACTTTGTAGTTTGGGGAAAAATGAGTGAAAAGAGGATCAAGATTTGAAGGAGGAGGTTGGTCTGAGAGGCACTCTGGTTCATTTTGTTCCTTGTCAGGGAGGAGTGACAGCTCCACCTATTCTAGCCAGTAATACACACTTCTCCTGCCCGTGCCCACCGGCTTTTTTTTTTTTTTTTTTTTTGGTACAGGGGATTGAATCTGGCGGGGCTTAACCACTGAGCCATATCCCCAGCCTTTATCTTTTTTGAGACAGTCTCACTAAGTTGCTTAGTGCCTCACTAAGTTGCTGAGGCAGGTTTTGAATTTGCAATCCTCCTACTYTGGCTCCAGAGTCACTGGGATTACAGGGTATGCCACCACTACCACACCATCTGGAGAGAGTGGCTCCACTTGCACCCACCTGTGGTTTCACCTGCAGTACGTTCGCCCTCAGCAATTTGTGAATGGGTGTGCAATTGCTGAAGTCAAATGTTCTTTTTAAAGCTCACTTGGAGGACTGCGGACATAGCTTCATGGTAGAGCACTTGCTACCTCTTGTAAGGCCGTGGGGAGACAGGTGAGATTCTCAGTGGAATGTCTGCTTCTCTTTCACTTTCAGGAAACAAATGTGACTTGTGGGAAAAGCGGCACGTCCTGTTTGAGGACGCCTGCACACTGGCTGAGAAGTACGGCCTCCTGGCAGTTTTGGAGACATCCGCCAAGGAGTCCAAGAACATAGATGAAGTCTTCGTGCTGATGGCCAAGGAGCTGATCGCCCGCAACAGCCTGCACTTGTATGGGGAGGGCGGCCTGCACAGTCTGCCCACAGACTCCAGTCCAGTTCTTATAGCCCAGGGTCCGAGTGAGAAGAGCCACTGCACCTGCTGAATACGAGGGTGAGGCCAATTTGGAAAGCAGAGGCAGTCAGATACCCAGGGTCCCCTGTGTAGCACTGCAGGACAAATGCAGCCTTGCCACTGACTCCTGATCCCTCCAGCCTGAAGGAACAGCACTTCTGCCTTGACTCACCGCAGACTCCAAGGAAAGGGAACAGCATCATCTTTCTTAACTCCTAGTAAAACTTGAACTTATACAGGGGAAGGTCAAGGTTTGCATTTCCCTTCTTTTCTGCCCCACCCCCATCCCACCAGGTCAACTGCTTTCCCCTGGATTTCGCTTCTCAACTTGAAGAAGATAGTGAAGGAAAAACAGGAGAGGATGTTTGGAACATTCTACAGCTCGGGCAAGGAAATGGGAGAAAGCCTGCCATGAAAAAACCAAAATGCTGTTGTCTTGTTTCCCCCAACATTCACACCTCAGTTTGCACTGGGGAGCAAGTCCTGTTACCTAAACGCAAGCAACAGTGTCTTGCAGAACTGCCAGGAACCACCCACACGAGGGAGATGGAATCGAGTCCCACTTGGTCTGGGTTGGGCTGATGGGGCACTTTTTCGACCATAAGGATATGAGGGATGCCTAGAATTTCTAAAACATCTACTGGATCAGAAATCAATTCTGGGGCTGGGCTGTGGCTCAGTGGCAGAGCGCTTGCCCTAGCATGTGTGAGGGAGTAGATTCTCAGCACCGCATATCAATAAAGAAAATAAAGGCCCATTGACAACTAAAAAAGTATATATTAAAAGAAAAACCAATTCTGAATTGAAATTAAATTGGCTCATAGAGGATTATAAAACTAGTGTTGTATCACTTCTTCTCTAAGATGTGGTCCGAGAGCAGCTGGATCCTTGGAGCTCGTGGGGGAATAGATCCTTGCTTTCAGAACTAAACACATAAGGTTGGCCAGGCAGGATCCAGGCAGCAGGGGATTCCAGAGCAGGCAGTAGGCCAGGGCCCCTCGACCTCAAGTGTCTGAGACCCCAGTGAGCAATGGCTATTCACCTGGCAGAGGCACCTGTCTCCGCTGATGACTGCAGCTGTCAGTTGCAGAGTCACCTGTGAGGGTCAGAAATGATGAGAAGGCACCGGAAAGGAACACACTCTTGGTTTTAACTCAGTGCTACAGAGAAGATGTACCCAACTGCAGGATGCTGCACTTAACCAGGGACGTCCCCATATCCTTTCTCCCAGAAGTCCCTGGCCATCCCTCCCTTTCCCTGCTCTGAGTATCTCAGCTTCGTGTTTAAAAGGCTAAACCTTTTGGTACAGATGGTGGTGGAGCAGCATGCACCCCCAAATACCACCCAGCTCACTCTCAGCCCAGAATCAGTCTTTAAGGCCACCTTTCTTCCTCCCACCAGCCCACTGACACCTGAGGTGTCCTTAGCTCCCTTAGACATTTCCTGGTCCCTAGGAGTTCAATCTTAAATTCTGACCTTCAGGATTCATCAACATACTAAATACCCCAAGATGAAGGGCAGTGCCTTCCCCCTGCTCTGCCTTCCAAAACACCAAGCACTTTTCCTTTTAACTTTGCAAGACACAGARTTTCTAAAAGGTACTTAAGGTACCCTTTAGAAACTTTGTGTCTTGCAAGTCTTCACTCCTCCTGTTGAGCACCTCCATTCCTAGTTCAGCCAACCTGTTCAGTATGTGTCCCAAAATGAATGCCTTGTCAAAGGTGCCTCTGGTTGCCAGCTGCTGTGGAACAAAGCTGGGACCCCAGTCTCTATAGGAGCTTTCCTCCATAGGCCAGTGACAGCCTGAGGTCCCAGCCCTCTTAGGCATTTGCAGATTTGCATAATCACACAAACCCAGAGATAAACCCCTGAATTGTGCAGGTGTACACAGCAGCTTGGGAGACTGAGACAGGAGTTCAAAGCCAGCCTCAGCAAAAGCAAGCTGTTAAGCAACTCAGTGAGGCTGGGGACCTGGCTCAGTGGACAAGTGCCCCTGAATTGGGCCTTCAGCAAGCACCTTCAGCTCCTTGGAAGCTAAGGACATCAGGGGGAAAGAGCAGTCTCCTAGGAACCCTGAAGCCCCCCTCTAGAACAGCTGCCCTTCCAGCCTGGGACATCCTGGGAGACATATATCCACAGGCATCCTTCTCATCCRGTCTTGGGTGATGGGATGCTCCACACCCCACTTAAGCACCTGAGCAGTTATGCTAAATCCCACAGAAGTTCTGGACCTCATTTTTTTGGCTGTTGACCAACCTTTGTTTTATTTATTTCAAACCCAGTGCCTCACACATGCAAGGAAAGCGCTCTACCACTGAGCCAGGACCCCAGCCCCCACATGACCTCATTTTTGCTGGAGTTGCAGCCCCTCCCATCAGCACCCTTCTCATTCCCTCYTCCACCTTTGTTCACAAAGGGGAAGCTTTGAGAACACTTGCCAAACTCCCAGTTTCCAGAGAAAAGTAAGAATTTGTATTAAAGGTCTGTGAGTTACCTCAGCCCCCATCCACTGCCAAATTCTTTCTACCCAATTAAAAAAGACTGTCTTCCTCAGTCAGTGGCCAACAGGGGCCTCCTGTGCTCAGGTGCATACATTGGTGTGCACATGCTCTGCCCCACCCGTGTTCAGTCTARAAGCTCAGACAGCTCTTGGCAGCTCTGTTCCACCCTTCAGGACTGACCCAGCCTGGTAAATGGTAAATGGTGATTATGCTGAGCAGGTGACCCCAGCCCTGGACTTGAGCCACAGCTGTCCTTGATTACGTGATCCTTTTTGGATTCCATTTGCTGTGGATTCAATGTGGTTGCTTCACTGTTTTTGAATTTTGCAGTGCTGGGGATTGAGCACATGCATGTAAGCATGTGTTCTGCCACTAAACTGCACTCTAGACCATGAACTCTCAAGTGGCACAAAAAAGGGGATGGCTGTGAAATCTTTTGAAAGTATAAAGCAAGACAAAGTCAATGTGAAATCATCTTCACGATTGCCCATCAGACATCAGAGAAGGGGGCCAGAGCTRAATGGTCCCTAGACATAATTGATATTTTAGGTTACACCACCCAGAGGAAAAGGGGTACATTTTTCCTCATGTTCTACTAGTCCCTTGAGAATAAAACCCTTTTCTTTTCCATACCTTGGCACAAATATAACACAAAGGAATTCTTGAAAAACTCATGTTACCTGAAAATGGGGGAAAAAAAAAAATCTTGTTTAACTTCTGTTAGAGACAGCATGGAAGAAACCCTGCCTGTGCCCAGCCTTAAGAAGGCCCTGGTTGGTGCCACCCCTCAAACTGCCAAAGAAAAGAATCATGGCGGGAAATATCAAGTTCTGAGGGTTCTTTCAGAAGGAAGGTTCATGAGATCCTGCCATTTGCAACAGCATGGATGGACCTGGTAGAGTTTACACTAAAAGAAACAAGCAAGGCACAGGAAGACAAATACAACACAAACTCATTTATATGTGTAAATGTGAGCCCTTAGCAACTTAGACCTTCTGGAAAAAAAAAATTTAAAAGGGCTATGAATATAGCACAGAAAAGCACCTCTGGGTTCAGTACCAAAAGTAATAATGTAGTAAAGGATACAAAGTTTCAGTTAGACAGGAGGAATCAAATCTAGTTTTTTGGATTTGGGAGGGGGAGGAGTTTTATCACTTAACTGTATACCCAGCTGCCCACGCACCTTTTTAACTTTTTAGACAGTCTAAATTGCTTAGGGCCTGGAACTTGCAATCTTCCTGACTCAGCTTACTGAGTCACTGGGATTACAGGGGTGCGCCACTGTGCCCAGCAAGAATCAAGTTTTTGCACAGCAGGGTGACTACAGTTAATAACTGTACTCAAATAGCCAAGGATAAATCTCAATTGCCTCACCCCAAAAACAATAGAGCAATTAGTATGCGCCCAGCACTGCAGCATACTAATTCAATAAATCCTTTTCTAAATTAATTATTTTMCTTATTTTGGTGCTAGGGATCAAACCCAGGGCATTATGCATGAGAGACAAGCACTCAACCAACTGATCTATATCCCCAAAACCCCTCAATGAATCCTTTTAACTAGTTTTTGAAGGTGSTATTTTTTACATAAGAATATAAATTGGGCTGGGGGTGTTAACTCAGTGATAGAAAACTTGCCTAGCAGGCATGAGGCCTATCCCCAGCACTGCCCAGCCCCCTGCAAATGTGACTGTATTTTTAAGGATAGTTTCCATTCCATCTTTCTTTTCTTTTTGTGCCACTGGGAATGAAACCAAAGGCCTCACTCATACTAAGCACACACCTGAGCTGTACCTCCAGGCCATTTTTATTTTTTGAGACAGGATCACTTAGTTGCAGAGGCTGGCCTTGAACTTGTGATCCTCCTGCTTCAGCCTTCCAAGTTGCTTGGGATTACAAATGCGTATCCACCACATCTGGCTTTAATTCATTTAAAAAAAGGGGGGGGGGCCTGGGGATGTGGCTCAAGCGGTAGCGCGCTCGCCTGGCATGTGTGTGGCCCGGGTTCGAGCCTCAGCACCGCATACCAACAAAGATGTTGTGTCTGCCAATAACTAAAAAATAAATATTAAAAAATTCTCTTATGAAGAAAAATATTCTTTCAAAATGTCAATTATGAGCTAGGTGCAGGGGTGCACACCTGTAATCCCAATAGCTCGGGAGGCTGAGGCGGGAGGATCATGAGTTCAAAGCCAGCCTCAGCAATGGCAAGGCACTAAGCAACTCAGTGAGATCCCTGTCTCTAAATAAAAATTCAAAATAGGGTTGGGGATGTGGCTCAGGGGCCAAGTGCTCCCAAGTTCAATCCCTGGTACAAAACAAACAAAAAACCAATCATGTGGTGACTTGTAAGTGACTTACTTGGGAAATGAAGCAGGCTCCACTACAAGCACAGGGTACCAGGAAAGCCACAGTGCCTTTTGCTGACCAAGGCAGCCTAGAGTCAGTCAGTCCTGCAGATTCTACCACAGGAGAATAACTGGATGGTGCCAGCCAGTAAGCTTCCCCTGTGTCTCCCAAACATTTCTCAGCAGGCTAGATGACTTAAGAAGGTGTCACTTTCTCAGTGAATCTATACCCAAGAAATGTGGCTGAGGAACAGATGAGAGAGTCAATGAAAGAACATATTATTTCCTGATACCTGCATGTTTTGAAATAGCTCATTACACAAAACAGCCAACTTTTTTTTTTAATTGTTTTATTTGGGAAAAGTGCTTCTTACAAAAGGGCAGCTGCAAAATACAGAGACCTCTGCAACAATTACTTGTTTTTTCTTAAAGTGAAAGAATGAGTGGGATCCAAGGAACCAAAGCAGTAGATGGACAAATCAGGAGCATCTCCCAAGTTATTTTCAGGAAACAAAGCAACAAAATGCAAAGGTAAACTTTCCCATCAAGGAATTCTTCTAACAACTTAACTTCAGCTTGTCTTGTGGATTACCACGCCCTCCCCTTTAGTGGAAAAAAAGTGTGACTTATTACTGMAAACCAATCACTCCACTACAATAAACACCTTAGAACATAGTTTTGAATGACTTCCATCTACCTGCAAAGCTCAGGGGTGGAAAGAGGCAATACCCACAAAAACAAACACAAAAACCTGACAACAGAACCCCTCAAACAGAGGACAAAAGTTTTTCCAAAAGTACCTGGACTGGAAAGGCTACACCATGAAACATTAAATAAAACTGTGCACCCAAGACCCAGTCTGTGTTGATACATGGGATAACCAGTCATTTATCCACTATGGCTGACCCCATTCCTCTAGCATATAGACAGAGCTAGAGCTGCTATAGCAACTATCTCCAACACACTGCTTTGCCCTTTAAGATCTACCTGCCACATGAGGCTGAAACCACTAAACCAAGTTTGTCCACTAAGGCTAAAAATACTTTATCTATGCAGGGACAGGAAGCTCATGCTCACACCAAGTCCTTGGGAGTCWACTGCCAATCCTGCACTGATGGTGTGCCACTTATCTTTCATGTGTGTTCTTTCAAATGTTCCTAGCATGCTAAAATCAATACATTCACACCTGGTTCTCTTTACCCAGTAGTACTCCTTATGTGCAATTAAACAAGAGACCAAAACCACAGAACAAGCATGTGGTGGAGGGGATTATAGGGGAGGGAACTGATATAAAAACAGATGTGCACATTTTACCAGAAACCTCAAGGACCTACCTCCTAMGTCTGCAGAAGGCTACTTGCCAGCCAGCTTAGGTGCCTTCACCCRTCACCCCTACTCTTGGACCCCAAAGCACGGCTGGTGCTTTTGCTCTTGAACCTAGGGTCCTGGAAATGAGTGCAGAAAGTCCATAGATACAACCTGGCTGAAAACAGACGCAACAAACCTACCCTAACTGTCTGACAGTTAAATTCATGTTACAAAAAAACTAACTTTARGATTTATTTTTGTAACTTTTTGAAACAGAGAAAACAGACACTCCTTGGGGAAAGGGGAGGGGAGCAGCAGGCCCTGGGTAAGTGATCACGACAGCACCTGGAGTGGAGAGGCCTGCCTAGGAGAGCAACACGCACTGCCACGCGGCACAGGGGACAGCTACTGTCTGAGGCTCGCAGACCAGTTCCCGTGCCACTCAAAGCTGCTATAGGTCCAAGTCATAAAAATCTTCCAGCTCATCGTGAAACAAGTCCCACTCGTCCTCAGAGTCTGTCAGCTCGTCGTCCCCACCTGCAGCCAAAAGCATAAGCAACATCTCGCCCAGCTCAAAGGTGACAACCTCCTCTTCATCGTTGTCAAAGGGGTTGCTGTTCTCTCTTTCCTCAATGAGTTCCCAGAAGTGGTTCCTTCGTTGGGCCTGTAAAAAACAAGGCCATGATAGGGGTAGCACTGCTGAGTAGTGTCTTCTATTCTGTTGCTTATAAGGCAAACCATCCAGCACAGAGGGAATGACGAACCAGACTTCTTACTTATGATCCATCTTACCAATCCTCCCCTCTGGGTACTTGTTGCTAACAGTTTAGGCTAGGGCCTTCCACGCTGTCTTTTATTCCCTTTCCTATCCCTCCCAGTTTTCCAAGGTCTGCCTCCTCCTTTCATCCTCTCCTCCAGTCTCACTCCCAGCTGTGAGTGCTAATCTTGGCTTTCCCCTTCCTTCCCCAATGTTCAGACTCAACTGATGGTGGAATTTCCCCTTCTTTAGAAAAACAGCGAGAGTTACCCGGTATCTGCTTGATGTTCCCACTTTCTGTCTCTGTGGCTCCTCTCTACGGCCATCAGGGTACGCATGCTTGTAAAAACAGTTCCCTCCAAATGGACAGCTCCCACGTCCTTCATCAAAATACCTGCACGCCTTGTTGCTGGAAAGGAAAATATCGCAACCCTTATTCACAGTGGACTTCAGGCCTATATCCAGGGTTTCTTTAAACAGGTAGTAAGGGTAGAACCCGGATATCAGTTCACAGCCCTCCCCAAAGTGTGTTTTTACAAACGTGTGCTAAGGCATGAAACACTAACACAAAGTCACTGTTCGAATCTATGCTGTTTACCAACTCAAGGATCGTGTTCCAATAGAAAGGAAAATCTTCTAGAAAGCCAACACATAAAAATTAATATAGGACAACTATGACATGACTCAGAATAAGGTARAACCCATTCATGGTTTTTAGCTATCAACAGTAGAGACATCATTATAAYGCAGTCCCTTGGCAGGTACCTCAAGGACTGTGTTATACAGGAAGATACAAAGTGGGTAAGTGGTATGAGGGTGACAAAATAAACTGTACTGGGAAGCAAAAGAAAGGGTAGGAAGGAGGTAGGAGTGTGTAGTGCAGCACTGATCTTCCAAAGTGAACCCAAGCTGCTGGGCTCTCGGCTTGAGAAAAGGCTGCAGTGCTCATACCTCATTGCCTCCTTGTATTTCTGAATGAGTTTCTGCTTCTCTTCTTTCTCTTCCACCCAGTACTCACTTGGAATGACAAAGTTAGATGTGATCCGGCATTCTGGGCAGGACCTGGGAAACAATGAACAGGCTGCAATGCAAATCCCCCTTTACAGACCCACTCTTAAGGACACACCCTGGTGTGTCACCTCCAGACTTAAGGGCTTAACTGAGAGGCACATGGGCATTTCCTGAAAGGGTTCCACATACTGTCAAACAACTGACCCTTTCTTTGAAGGCAAGACAAAGTCCTTCATAAATTCAAGTCAATGGCTAGCCAGTTCATTTTTTAAAAATAACTTAGATTAAAAAACAAAACAAAAGAAGACATTTCACACAGACTCCTTTTTCTTTCGTTTAAATAAATTTATTTCTTGTAACTTTGCTCTGTTTAGATTATGTAGTATTTGTTCAGTTATGAGAACAATCTTTAAAGGATGGTGGATTATTGGCTAGCTTAATGGATGGAATAGGAAAAGTGGAAAATGTAAAACGTCAGGAAACATACATTCGGAGCTAGATAAGTTTGTTCACGGAGCCTAAACTGGCTAATCCATTAAACACAATCTCCTCAGAAAAAGCACAAAGATTCTACTAACTGATACATAGGGTTTCCTCATTCAAATAAAAGTAGACCAACTAACCTAGCAGCTAGCTGAAATACAAAGAAGAAATCCCAATTAGAATACCCCAATTTCAAGATAAAATGCATGCATTTAAATGCGGTCCATCTGGTTGAAAGTTGGCACAAGGTACTAAATTCTTCCCCAAAATAGAAAGCACAAACGAAGATTGGGGAGGAGTCTCACTTTATGATCTTGCTCTCAAATTGCTTAGCACTCCTCCACTTGCGAATACACTTGAGACAGTAGGTGTGGTTGCAGTTGGAGAGGATCCCAAAGCGGCGCTCGCTGGGGTTGGCTTTCTCATAGACCACCTCCATGCAGATCCCACACACCATGTCCTTGCTGCGCTGCACAGCAAAAGACAGCTCCATGTCCTTCTCGTGGGCCTCAATGCAAGACTAGGAGAAGGAAGAGATGAGAAGCATCCTGAAAGACTTCCACTCCACAGTTCATGAATGTTCAGACAATCAAATCATCACATGAAATGTTTTCCTAATTTGACTTGAAAGTAAGTTTTGTTCACAAGTGAACGTAAGTGAAATGACATTATGAGACTCCACAATACTGTAAAATCAAACTGTGAGGACTCAACTTCAGAAACTGAAAAATTACCCTATATTCTCTATCCTAAACTTGAAGCTCCACTGTTTTTTCCTACGTTAAAGATGGTTTTTCATGCTTAAGAGATTTTCTGGCTTCTAGTTGGATAATGTTATCAGTATTAAGATTCTAATTTAAAAACTGTCAGAAAATAAAGGTAAAGGAAATCATGTACCAGGTACATAATCTTCATATGCTATTTATTGGMAGTGTCGGGGACTGAAGTCAGAACCTCACAGCTACTAGTCAAGAGTTCTAATACTGAGCCATACTCCCAGGCCCTAATATGCCTTAAGAAAAAACAAAAAACAAAAACAAAAAAACCCTGCTTTACTGAGATAATTCACACACCATGTTATTCATCCATTTAAAAACTGTACAATTAGGCTCAATGGCAGAACACCTGCCTTGCTGGGTTACATCCTCAGCACCACATAAAAATAAACAAAATAAAGATATTGCATCATTCTATAACTAAAACATTTTTAGGAAATTGTACAATTAAATCTTTTTTTTTACAATTAAATCTTTTTTGATATTCAGTTGTACAAAAAATTACCTTAAAATTAATATTAGAATGTTTCCATTACCCCTAAAAAGAAACCCCATACCCATTATCAGTTACTTCTTTTCCCTCAAAATCCCCAAGTACTGGGGCTAGGGATATAGCTCAGTAAGTAGAGCGCTTGCCTTGCATGCACAAGGCCCTGGGGGGGGTTTAGTACGCCGCCGCCGCAGCAGCAGCAGCAACACCACCACCACCACCACCACCACCCACCACCCTTTAAAAAAAAAAAAAAAAAAAAAACCCATTTCAGCAACCACTATTCTGTGGATTTGCCAGTTCTATGGTCTTTTATGACTGGCTTTATTCACTTATTATGTTTTCAATGTTATGTGATATTCTTAGTACTTTGTTTTTTTTAATGTTGATAAATATTACAATCTGGGTGGAATACATTTTACTTATCAATTCATCAGATGATAGACACACTTCAGTTGTTTCCACTTGGGGATTGTTATGAATAACACTACTATAAAAACCTATCTACAAATTTTCATGTGGACATCAAGTACTTTTTTAATCTATATAAGAAACATGATTATAGAAAATACAAAATTCAGAAGAGCCACCCATAATCCCACATAACCACTTAATGTTAGTATACATTCCCTTGTCTATTCCTAAAACCCTTTGTTTTTACAGTCTTCAGAGGTAGGTCCTACTACCCTCAATATATTGTTATAAGGACTTTTTTTTTCTTTCTTTTTTGGTATTGAGTCACTTTACCACTGAGCCACACCGCCGCCCCTTTTTTTGTTTTATGACAGGGTCTTATGAAGTTGCTGAGGCTAGCCTCAAACTTGTGATACTCCTGCCTCAGCCTCTTTTAAGTTACTGGGATTACAGATGGGTACCATCATACCCAATTTGAAATGTGAATTTTAAAAGTAAATCATATGGAATGTTAATCTCAGAAAAGCTATTATTAGAAAAAAGAAAAGAAAAACATTTAAAAGCCCATAGTTTGAGGTTCTGGAAGCAAGACTTTTTTTTGTTGTTTCTTTTTTGGTTTGATGCTAGGGATTGAACCTAGGGATTTGCATATGCTAACCAAAGGCTTCTACCACTGAACTATATCCCTAGCCTCTAGAAGTATAACTTCTTGATAAAGCATTCAAGAAGCTCAGAGAAGAAACACTTCTACTTACTGAAAACCATTCAATTCATCAAACACTTTTCTAAAATGAACTGACATTGTGAAAGGGCAAATACAGCTTCTTACACCTGAAAACACAGGCGTCTCCCKGAAGACTTACTTTGATGTGCTGTGACCTCTGGGCTGCATCCATCGGGTGGAGGACTTGCAGCCCACACATGTCACACGAGTCTCCGTGGAGATACACACAGTTCTCCCCATAGCGGCACTCTCCCACTGCAGCATAGGGGCAAAGCTGCTTCTTAGTTTCCACTGCAGTTTGCTCTTTCTCTGATTCTTCCTTGGTCACTGAGCCCTGCAGGGGTGCTTCAGTGCAGGAAGGGGCAGCTGAAAATGTGTAAGAGGGTAGTAAAGGTCCAAAAGGATAAGGCATATTAAGAACTATAAGGTACTGAGAACCTAACTGAAAAGAAAAAAAAATTAAACTCAAAAAACAGTCTACTAATTTCTTCACTAATGAAATCAGGACCTCCTRCATGCTAGGTAAAATGCTACCACTGAGCTATATTCCCACCCTTTTTTATTTTGAGATAGGGTTTATTACGTTGTCCAGGTGGGCTTCAAACTTTCAATTCTGCTCCCTCAGCCTCCCAAGTAGCTGAGATTAAAGACATGCACCACCACACCCAGCTTTTTTGGGCCCTTTTTATTGAGACAGGGTTTCACTAAGTTGCCAAGGCTGGCCTCAAACTTGATTCTCCTGCTTTAGCATCCCAATTACAAGTGTGCACCACCATGTCCAGCTTAATTTCTTTACTCTTTCAAGATATTTTTCTCTAATAATGACATTTCCAAGATAAGGCTTGTTATTGGGATTCAAAAAGTTTGTTTCACTCCATCTGTAAGTCCTAGGTTATCCAATTTAAAGTGATAAATTAGGCTAAATATGAAGACTGGAAGCAGGAAGACTGTGAAAACTCAGTTTAATTGATGAACTACCTCTTTATATTATTCTTTAGAATACTTACTACGTCCACAGTAGGGCTGCCCAGGAACAAACTCAATGGCATTCACCCAGTCCTCTGAACCTGCTCCTACTGTTGGATAGTTTGAATTTCTTGACTCWGCTTCGCCTGTATTCATTTCGACAAGCGGTCCAACCACGGATGAGAGACTTGAGGAAGCAGCAAGGGAAGGTTTTGCAATTAGATCTGTAGCAGTCGCTTCTTCCTGTTTCAATGGCTTGCTATGTTCATATCTGGGCGGGGAGTAAAAAGCAAGCAGTTAGGGCTGGGGATATAGCTCAGCAGTAGTAGAGTCCTTGCCTTGCATGCATAAGGCCCTGGATTCAATCCCCAGCAACCCCCGCCCAACACACACACAAAGTCTTGACATCTAGGCAACACAGAAGTGACTCCATAGTCATTAAAGAGTGAGGCTGTGCAGATGTGGAATAGTGTCTAAAATATACTATTTAGTGAAATAAATAAGCTGCAGAGCAACAACAACAAAAAACAAGCCTTCTGCCAGATTACCCCTATAATCCCCAACACTCAGGAGAATAAGGAAGTAGAATCACAAGTTCAAGGCCAGCCTCAAGCAAGACTCTCACAATATAAAACAGGCCTGGGGACCTAGCTCAGTGGTAGAGCAAGGCTAGGTGCAATTCTCAATACAAAAACAAACAACAAAATAAAAAAAAAAAAAAACAGCCTTTAACCAAGTTTGGCCTATAGGCCACCCACCCCTGCTATAAACCACTTATTACTCTTCAAATTTAACTGATCAGGAAGTTTCAGCTAGTTAACAACCTACAGTTCCCATGGTAACTCTGCTAAAGAAACCACATCCCAAACCAAGTGAATGATTAATCAAACCAAAATGGACACTGAGGGCTGGGAGTAATGCTCAGTAGGTAGAGTGTTTGCCTCACATGCACAAGGCCCTGGGTTCAATCCCCACAAAAAAGAAAAAAAAAAGTGTACAAATCACCTTTAAAAGATACATATGTACTTTCTTATATTTCCTTTTCCCATAGTCTTTCATGGAGTATTTCCCAAACTTTTGCCCCATATAGTCTCTCCTCCCTTTTCAATCTGTAAATCACTAAACCTATCTCCAAATACAGAAAACAAAACAAAACAATTACTCCCTTCATGGAGGAACTTACTGCTTGAGAAAAATGCTGATAATTCAGGCTTTTGTGCTACTATTTTCATTCAGACAAAATAAATTAATTTTGTTATGTACTAAATCTAAATCTTAACTTCTCAAATATCTACCTTACCTAACAGCCTTCACAATGAAACAGTATTAACCATGGGTCTATTTATGCTTACATCTAAGAAAGAAGAATTTGGCAAACCTTTGCTGAGCTGAGCTGCTCTGTATTTAATCACTATATTCTATTACCCCAAACATTCACATTCCAACTCTTAGGTTAGGTAACCATTTTTGGCTTGAAGTTTAAGTGAAATGAGAATCCTGCTATCAGCTTCAAAAACCCAATGCACTGTGTTCTGGGGTAGAATTATATGAGCTGAGGGGAAGGAACTATCAGGAATAGGCTTTTTCATGGGCTGGGGATATAAATGAGTTGAGTACTTGTGTATGTAAGGACCTTGGTTCCATCCCCAGCACCAAAAAAATAAATATGCTCTTTCATTTGTTTCATTTCACTTCATTGTCAAAGATCAGTGAAGGACTACTAGGGATATGGGGATATAGTTCAGTGGTCGTGCACTTGCCTAACATGCCTCTGGGCCTGCTTTTGACCCCTAGCACCACGATTTTTTTTTTAATCTACATTTATCCATTAACAGAATCTCAGAATAGCTGGGCATATAATGCTATTCACACCTATAATGCCAGTGGCTGGGGAAGCTGAGGCAGAAGGTTCGTGAGTTCAAAGCCAGCTCAGCAAAAGCGAGGTAYTAAACAATTCAGTGAGACTCTGTCTCTAAATAAAACACAAAATAGGTCTGGGGATGTGACTCAGTGGTGGAGAGATCCTGAGTTGAATCCCTGCTACCACCCAAGCCCTCAAATCTCAGAATAAACTTGCTTTTGTTTGATAATTTTAAAATTATGTATATTTATATTGTGGGGATTGAATCCAGGGCCCTGTTTTGAACATGCTAAGTTAGTACTCCACCACTGAGTTATACCCACAGCCCTTTAATTTTCTATTTTGATTCAGGGTCTCAATAAATTGGTCAGGCTGGCCAAGAACTTGTCAATCTTTTGTCTCAGCCTCCCAAAGGACTGGGATTCCAGGTATGCAACATCATACCCAGCTTAGAGGAAACCTTCATTTTAAGTTTTTTAAAACCTTCTCATTTGATGGCAGGGACCTTGTTTTATTTATACTGAATAGATAGAATGGTTCTTAATGTGTGATTGATTACAAAATAAACTGCTTGGGCACGTTCATCTCAGTTCAGGTTTCTTTTTCTTTTTTCTCTTCTTTTTTTTTAAAAATATTGGGGATTGAATAATCCAGAGTCTCACTAAATTGGTGAGGCTGCCTTGAACTTGCAAATCTCCTTCCTGTGCCTCCAACAGGAAGTCACTTCTTTACTATTAACACAGATATCAAAAAGCCTAAATTTCCTTCATTGGGAAACTTACATCTGCTAAAATATTGCAGCCTCATCAAAACTGGACACCTGGGCAGGGGTTGTAGCTCAGTGATAGAGCAATTGCCTAGCACACGAGGCACGAGGTTTGATCCTCAGCATCACACAAATAAAATTAAGGAATTGTGTTCATATACAACTTAAAAACAGGGCACCTCCTCACTCCTTGGTCAAAATTCTCAGTCTCCTTTCCTACAAAGAAGCCCTCTGAATACAGGGGAAGACTGAAGATAAAAAGAATGCCCTTTGGAACTGCAAAACTGCATGAAAAATAAAATGACTAACAGGTAGACCTAGGCCAGATTTCTACAATCTTTACCTTCAATTTCCCATTCATTCCACCTGTATGGTCCAATCAGATGAACACTACTTCTGTCCCAGTCTATTTTCCAAAGCTATCTGCTGGGCACTTTTTGTGGGAGGTGGGGAAAGGTTTACCAGGGTTTTAACCCAGGGGTGCTTAACCAATGAACCAATCCATATCCCCAGCCCYTTTTTTGAGATAGAATTTCACTAAGTTCCTTATAACCTAGACAAGTTGCTATAAGGCTGACTTTGAACTTCCTCAGCTCTCAAGTCACTGAGACTATATAGGCATGCGACACAGGGCCCAGTCTGATGGGCACTTTTAGCGTCTCCCCTAGTCATTGTTGGAACAGTTCTCAACTGTCTGGAACCCAGTCCAAGAAATCTAGCTCCTCCATAATTAGCCTAGTATAGAACATCTGCAGAAACTGTTACTTTTGTATTCTAGCACATGAACCCAATAGATGACACTTTTTTTTCTATTAATGTCAATAGAATTGGCTATGACACTGTCACTAAGTCTTACCAAATATAATCATCTAAAATATGTCCAAACGTTTTGATAACAGGCATCCCTTTCAAAAAGGTGGAGCTTGATTCCTCTCCCCTTGAATGTGGTTTGGATATAGTTCAGAATTTAGCAGAAGTGACAACATGTGACTTCTGAGACTAGGTCATAAAAGGCATTGTGGCTTCTCTTGCCCCCACTGGAGTCACTGCCTCTGGAGAAGACAGCTGCTAAGCTGTAAACATAYTAAAGCAGCCCTATGAAGTCCCCCTGGCCACCAGCCATGAAAGTGAGCCACTTTACAAGCTGTTCTCCAGCTCCCATCAGGCCTTCAGATGACTGTCACAATGGTCAAATCTTCACTGCCATCTCCTCAAAGTCTAAGCTAGAACTACCCAGCCAAGCCACTCACAGATTTCAGACTTCCAGAAAACTGTGGGATAACAAATGTTTGTTGATTTACTCTGCTACATTTTGGGGCAATTTGCTTAACATCACTGGATAACTAAATACCTAAACATTTTCTTAACAGTGAAGATTTAAAATAACAACAACAAAAAACTGTGCCTAGTTTCTAATCAGAACCCACCACTGAATTCCAATGTAAGGAACTCAATGAATAACGGTAGAGATTACTTAATAACTAATACCTCTTGGTTTTCTAACATTCTAAGAAAGGTATTAGAGACATTTCTGAAAGTGTTCCCTAAGTTGTAACTGCTCCCAAGTTTATAGGATTCAGGAAGTAAGACAAAATGACAAGCCCTCTAACTAGTAACCCAACAGCTAGAGGTTTAGCTGCATGGTAGAAGGCATGAAGTATGAGGCTCCAGGTTTTGTGCCCAGGACAGGGGTGGGAGTGAGGAGTCTAATGCACCATTCCAGAGGCCTAAGAATCCACTCTCCATAATTCATAATAGTAGAGAATGACTGAATCCCAGCTAATTTAGTCAAACATGYGCCTCATTCTTTGTTTTGAAAAGCAAATGCCATATACAACCACATATGCTTTCGTAGCATACACAGTTCTGGGTTCAATTCCCAACAATGAAAAAAAAAAAGTAATACATTCCTTCTAGGATATCCTTCCATACACTAACATTTCTAGGGAGTTTTATTTATTTATTTATCATGCTGGGAATTACACCTAGGACCCCTTGCATAGCAGGCCAAGTACTCTTTCTACTAAGGTATAACCTAGCCCTAAAGCACTGTTTTAAATACATTATATAATGAAGCTATTAAAATTATGTATCTAGAGCTWGGGTTGTACTCAATGGTAGAGCGCTTGCCAAACATGTGCAAGGCACTGGRTTCGATTCTCAGCACCACATATAAATAAATAAAGGTCCCTCAACAACTAAAAAAATAAGTGGAATAAAATTATGCATCTAGGGCTGATGATATAGCTCAGTTGGTAGAGTGTTTGCTTTACATGCACAAGGCCCTGGGTTTGATCCCCAGCATCAAAAAAAAAAAAAAAATTATACATCTACAGCTGTAGCTGTAGCTCAATGGTACAGTACTTGCCTAGCAGTGTGTGTGGCACTGGGTTCAAGCCTCAGCATCACAGAAAAATAAATCAAAAATAAAGGTATAAAAAATATTATGTAATTACTTTCATCGTTTTCTCCCAACCCATCCCTGAATGAAATGAACTTAGCTGGGAGCCCTGGCTCAAGAAAGCAACTCAGGAGGCTGAAGCAGAAGAACTGCCAAGTGAGGCCAGCCTCAGCAATTTAGGAGGCTCCAAACAACTTGGTTAAGACCTTATCTCAAAGGCTGGGGATGCACTTGATGATAAAGTGTCCTTAGGTTCAACTCCTAGTATCAAAACAAAATAAAAAATTAATTGATGAACAGATTCTTACCTGCAGCGGTCTCCATAAATACAGTACCCACGTTGAAAATACTTGCACACTACACCATACGGACTGTCAGAGAGGTCATGCGAGTAGCGACAGTTATCTCCTTCCTTACAAACCCCATGCATAAAATACCTGTGAGACAAAGGACCAGAAAACTAGATTAAAAAAGGCTAAAGCCAGTCCTCAAAGATTCACTACTAATATATTCTTCTAGTAAATACACAATAGTGCGAAATTAATAGAGTATACCTAGATCATGTGCCAGAATGAACCATTTGAGTACTACCATAAGCTGCCCATAGAACTRGGCAACAACTTAGATTTTAAACATTCATCTTATGACTGCATGTCAAGTCTGACTACTGTCCTCATTTTACTCCTAGGGAGGTAGCCTCTTATTTTCCACTAACTTTAGCCCTAGGAGCAGCTCTATCTGTAAAACAAATCAAAGAAACCAAATAGACTGAAAAGGGAAACCACCCTGCCAACTGTCTTTTAAGAATTACAGGTGGAGGGGCTGGGGTTGTGGCTCAGTAGTAGAGAGCTTGCCTAGCATGTATGTGTGAAGCACTGGGTTTGAGCCTCAGCACCACATTAAAAAAAAATACATAAAATAAAGGTATTGTGTCCATCCACAACTAAAAAAATTAAAAAAAAAAAAGAATTATAGGTGGAGGAACAAGCAGCTTCCAAAAACCACACATAGAATATAAGTGAATCTAGACCAGCAGCAGGAATATTACCTGAGAATCTGCTAGAAATGCAGATTCTACCTAGGGCCTACTCAATCAGCACTGGGCGTGGGACCCAGCAATCTCTTCTCAAAAGTCCTGGATGGGCTAGGGAAATGATAACAGTCTTTCTTTTTTTTTGGCAACCTTGATCCAAAAAGTGAACCGACTCCTCCAACTTCCCATCACTGCCTCCTATCTGGGGTTCAGTTTTTAATTCTTCGGTCCTTTCTCGATCTCTTTCTACTAAGCAGGGTTATAAAGATTTGAGTTCTGGAGCTGGGGATGTGGCTCAAACGGTAGCACGCTCGCCTGGCATGTGTGTGGCCCGGGTTCGAGCCTCAGCACCGCATACCAACAAAGATGTTGTGTCAGCCGAGAACTAAAAAATAAATATTAAAAAAATTCTCTCTCTCTCT